AGTGCATCAATAACTTCGCGATTAATGATGTGTCGGGTTTCTTCGGTTAGCGGACACGCAACAACGAGGATCTGACAATTGGAAGCCAATTCGACAACGGAGGGGAAGTATTTGTATTTCGATTTGGGTTTCTCTGATCTGGAATAGTAACTGATGGGGCAGCTGAATGCTTCAGCTCTTTTAGCAATTGCTGTGCCTATTCTGCCCAGACCTATAATTCCAACTTTTTTGCCACTGAACTGCAAGGATTACATACAAAAAAGATAAAACAAAAAATAGTAGTCCAAATTTCTGATTAAACCCATGGTGGGTGTAGTTGTCTATGAATGAGTATAACAATCGCGACTTGGGATCATCTGAGGCCAAGAGTTTTTCATGAGATCTGTAAGATAATATGACAATCTGACAATTCACAAATGCCACAAGACTTCTCAATAACCACAAAATTGTCACCGTGCAACTTTAGATCATTAGCTTATAAAGTTGATCAATGAACATAAATTGGTCTTGCGGGTCTCACGTGAACCCAACCCTACCAGAGGCATTGAATTGATGATATATGTGCAAAAACAGATAAAATCAAACAAATCCAATCTATAACAAAACCAAACCAAACCAAACAAGCCCTGCATATGCAGATGTAGGTAAACCTGACCTCTATCATTAGAATTTTAGTGGGACATGGGGAGGGTGGGATGTAGCCATGTAGGTCCCGAATTTTGGTGGGTTCTAGAGAGGATGGGATGTAGGCAGATTTGACATCTACCCCAAAAGTAGATTGGTTGTTTTCGTGAAGTCCCTTGGCTTGTGCGAGACGTGCGACACAAGGGGAAAAAAAATCTTAAACAGAGGGTGGCAATAGAACATAGAAAGAGCTTTAAATTAAGGGGGTGTTTGAGATTGCTTATAAAAACAAATTATCGACTTATTTCGACGTGGCATGGTAATAAACACTCTTCAGTATTTGGATAAACAACTTATACCAATGGTAAACCGGTAATAAGAAGTTTTTGAAGAAGACTTGTAATAAGTTGTTTCAAATAAGCAATCCCAAACACCGAAGACGCTGCTAATGAAATCGAACCTTCGTAGTTAATTTGAAGTCACCTTTCTTCCATAATCCACCTCTAACATACCGATCGCACTCACAAATCTTTCTCAACGTCGCCAACATCAATCCAATGGCTAAATCAGCCACATCCTCAGTCAACACATCAGGTGTATTCGTAACCCTAATCCCTTTCTCCTTACAATACACCAAATCCACCTTATCTAACCCCACACTGAAACTCGATACGATCTCCAGAGCCGGCAACGAGTCGATCAATTCCCTATCGGCACCGACGTTGGCATTTCCGACCACCGCTCGAATAGAACTGGCGTTCTCCTCTAAGAAATCGTTTCTTTTAGGGAAGTTCCAAAGGCGAAAGAGATTGAAACGCTTATCGAGTTGTTGTTCGAGGTAAGAAGACATCGGAAACGTGAGCAATACACCGATGCCTTCCATGGTCGATCGAGATTGGTGGTTTTTCTGGCTGAGGTCCAGTGGTGTAGGAGAAGATGAAGTTCCACGGCGTTCGCTGTTTCTGAAAGGGGAATCTGTTTCTACTCCCTTAATTGATTCCCCTCAGCCCGCTAACCAACCTAAATTGTTTTTTATGTTGTAATCTTTCATATTATATATAACTAGAAGATTACTAAGACAATGATTATATTTTATTATTTGTGTCTATTGATGTTATAATACGATTTTATGTATTTTAAAAAAAACATTAATAATTTTATTTTTAATAAAATATAAAATTAAAAATATCATAAAAATTTTAAAAAAAATATCAAT